CCCTTCCCTTCCCTTCCCTTCCCTTCCCTTCCCTTCCCTTCCCTTCCTTTCCTTTCCTTTCCTTTTTCCTTTCCTTCTTTTCTTTTCTTTTCTTTTCTTTTCTTTTCTTTTCTTTTCTTTTCTTTTCTTCTTTTTTTCTTTTACAAACAAGGAGAGACTTAAAGAGGTGGAGAGACTGGTTTAATATCTTCTAGTTCATCAGTAACCAAGCAGGAAGTAGGTCCCCTCGTGGCTGGTTCTGGCATTCTTTCTCCTGAACCATTGATTCAGTTATATTGTGGGCCTTCCACCTGCCGAATGCTCTCCTCGCACTCGAGCTGGTGCTCGGTTAGACACTGTCCGCTGCTCTTATAGGACATAGAGCTTTACGGACAAGACAGATATCAAGTTTGAGGACACCTGTAAAGGGGTTAAGTGGAGGGTCTCAGGATACACGTATGGAGCAGTCCCAACTGAGACGGGAGATTGGGGCAGCCCTCATGGAGGGAATGAAGTTGACACGGAAACCTAAAAAGGAAACAGAGGCCAGGCAGACAGCGAGCGGGGAACATCTCCATTGAAGCAGTTTTGCATCCCGAGAAATTCACATGCCCACAGGAGGAAGTAGGTGCAAATAATGAGTGGTAACAGTAGCAGTAAGGGTAGTAGTTAATATTTACTGAGTACTGTTCATGTGGCCAGCCTGGTTTTAAGTGATTTGGTATTTTATCTCATTTAATCTCATTTCATTTTCATAATAACCTTAAAAGTAGAAACCCTTTATCACCCTCTTCGAGATGAGGAAGGACACAGAAGGAGCAGCCTCGCGAGAAAATTTGACATAGATCCATTTTGTTTACGTAAGAAACGCAAAAAAAAAAAAATTAACTTGCACCAAGAAATGCGTTGTCCCCCATTTTCCTGCAAATGCATGCTGCTCGCGATTTGTTCTTCATTTTTCTTGGCTTTATCACAAGCAAGAATAAAGATGAATCATTCTTTTTTTCCCCGGGACAAAGCAAAAACAGAAGCAAGAACGAAAGCCCGGGTTGTTCTTTGAAAGTTTTCAATATTTAAGAAAAAGTTTATTTATTTTGAGAGAGAGAAGGAGTGGGAGGGGCAGAGAGGGAGGGATAGAGAATCTCAAGCAGGCCCCACGCGGGCAGCGCGGAGCCCTACGCGGGGCTTGAACACGCGAACTGTGAGATCATGACCTGAGCAGAAGCCAAAAGTCAGACGCTTAACTGACTGAACCACCCAGGTGCCCCTGAAATTTACCAATTCTCAAACACGGCTTAAATGTTAAAAGTATCATGGGAGTCAAATAAAATATGAACCTGACTCATGTGAGGTCAACGTTGGGGGCAGGCGTATGAGGGGAGTCAAGGGTCAACCTGCAGAGGACCTTTGAGATCACGGAGTATAATCCAGTGAGAGCAGAGACTTAGACTTTTTAAGGTGCGACACAAAAAGTTCGATTTTTGTGTTGAAACCATTCCTTTGTTTCTACAGTAGGGCTCTAACAACTTCTAAATGGCATAGCTCAGGGCTGAAGAGGCCTTAACACAGCGTCTATTTCAATATTTCTCTTAAAGACTGAGTCCATCTTCCTTAACCTCCTAGCTTTTCACTTTGACCTCAGGAAATCTTAGCTTCACTGTCTCATGTCTAACACCATGTCTGCATGACCTTTCTTTCCCCTTCTCCAGAAAGACGCCTCGTAGCTTCTCTCTCATCTCCTTAGGGGCAGTGAGTCTGTGTCTACAATAATGTGAACTCGCTTCCCGACCGGAAGCAGAAGCTTCAAGGTCATACACACTCTCCAGTGAACGGCCGCCTAATAACCCCTTGTCCCCGGAGATGAGGCTTCTGAGTCAAACCAAATTATGGCCAGTGGGAGAACAGGAAGAAGAGAAGAGCCGGATTTCCTCACCTGCTCCACAGGAAGTGCAGTTGGAAGGCTCATTTCCTTGGCATTCTTGGCAGGTGTAATGGCACAAATGGCATTGGTTCTGAAATCCAAATTTCCCTGAGGGACATTTGAAAACGCAGTGGCCGTTGTCAAAAATCCTAGAGAAAGAGCAGATTTCAGAGTTTGTAAGGGTGACTTTCTGGAATGGCTGTAAGTGTTAGGACATGTGGTGTTCACGTTTCACTGCACAGGCTTGGTTTCATCGTTCCAGAAACAAGGGCGAATGCCTGGGACTGATCATCTTAGAACATGTGGAATATTAGTCATGTACCCATCCTTGGCCCAAGGTTTGGACCCAACAGCAGGCATGCCAGAAACTGGCTCAGGATGCAACCGTGATTCTGGTTCCAAACAAGCTAACCAATGCCTGCAGGGATTAAACCCATATTGTGGGGCCCGGCCAAACGTAGTCAACAATCAGATGGAGGTCTTTCAACTTTCAAGACATTAAAGAGGCCTCTGGATCCAGAGGCCTTGGAGAAAATATTATTCCTTTAGTTATCAGCATGCCCACACTTTACAAGGGAGATGTCAATCAACATCAAGGGCTCTCAAAGGGTAGAACGAAACACTGTCCTGTAGCTTACATGCTACTTATAAACTTGGCCTATGCATATGGCAAGTGATCAATGAACTGATTTTGAGTGTCATTTTTGCAAGCACTTCTTGATGTATCAAGTACCATTTTTTTTTTAATTTTGTTTGCAAACACCTACAAGGACCCCCCCCCCCCAGATGGGATAGCGTGTGGGCTTATAAAACCTTTGACTTTATACACATACAATCCATACCACAGTATTTTCATCGTTTTGCTGCTTTTCTTCCTTTGCAAAGTAATTCCAAGAGCAAATGTGGTTAAGTAAGCGGTAGCCAAGAATTTGGCTCTTTCAGATACAAAATGTTCCCCAAGTGCTAGAGTCAGATAGGTAATATGGATAGATCAAGTGAGCTGTAGGGCTCCACCCCCAGAGTTTCTAATTCAGTCGTCTTTGGGGGAGGGAGCTGAGAATTTGTGGTTTTCCAATTCCTGGGTGGGGCTCATGCTGCTGGTCTAGGGAGACATTTTGAGAGCCGCTGTTTTTCCTTCAGCAGAAGAATGAGACAGAATGGAGTACTGTGGAATCTGTTCAATGATTCCTAAGTAACACCGGCGGTGCCCAATTGGGTCCGTTAGAGCTTCCTTCCGGTAGTCGTTACTGTATCCCTTGTGAGGTGAACTGAGCCCGTAGTGCGCCTGTTTCCCCTGAGGGTATGACGTTGGCATCCGGGCCTGAGAGAGTGGAGGGCCTGTCAGCAAAGGTAAGGCTTCTTTCTCTCTCTACCACCTCCTTCCACCCGAGCTGGATGTATCATGGAAGGTCAGGTGTAGGCCCGGGGTGCCCTGGCTTGGCTGAATCCCACCGTTTCCATAGCTAGAGGCGGCCCTGAACTGGAAATGGGCATTTCAGTCACGGGTTGGGAGGAAGTTGGAGCAGGAGCAAGGCGACCTGACCTAGCGTGTTGCTTGCAATCTTCCAATGCGTCGCCCGGAAAGCCCGGGTCATTTGCATCTGTTGGGAACGATGGGAAAACCACCTGGTTCTTGGGTTCTCCGCCTTTCAGGTTCCGGTCACCATCCCCAGCGCTCCTGGAGTGAGCCATCCTTTTGGCCACTGCAGAGCCTGGAGTCCCAGCCCTAAACAGACACGTAGGCACATCTGTTCGTCCGTGTCAAAACAGATGCCCTGCACCATGGTGTATGATGAGAAGGCTGTGCTCCCAGCCCAGACTTGAGTTGACGGCACTAATGCGAACTGGGAATATCCCAGCCCCACCCTGGCTCTGGTTTCTGAGCTAGAAGATTTTTCAAGGGATAATTTGGATGGGACTATCTAAAAACAAAACAAAACAAAACACCAAAAAACCAAAAAAACCTCCCTTTAAGAAAAACTGCGTAAGAGCTTTCTGAGGTTTTTAAACAAGGAAGCTGCTAGATGCTCTCCTGGAAGGGAGAATGGGGACATTTATTTGTGAGGATTCTTTCCCCCCGCCCCCCCCCGCCCCCCCCCCCCCCCCCCAAACTCAGTTGAAAAAGGGATGAAAAGTATATCATCATGTTTGTCTTTTATAGAAAGAGATGACGGATTTGTTTAGGGGGAAATCATTTCTCTTGGGAGAGGTGATCTAATACTCTCCATGATGGGAACCATTTAGAAGCATCCAGAACGTGGGGGTGGTGGGCTGGAGAGCGAAGCCGATGGTGTAATACTTCTGTGTTTATGTATGGAGGAGGCTGCATTTCTCACTTGAGTACTTGATTTTAAGGAAATGCCAAGCACATAATTGTGCTTTGAAATACCTGCTTTCATATCGACCCTAAGGAAAGCACAGGCGATATACACAGTTTGTTGTTGTTGTTGTTTTAATATAAGAACGCGATTCTTTTTAGAGATCTAAAAAGAGAAGGAAAACCGTCATGCTTAGGTAAAGGCACTGAATTACATCATCCCCTCCATCCCCCATCCTCGTCGAGGAAAATTGCTAAGGAGCTTGAGAAAAGTACCATTTTAAGTGGCACAGATTTTTCCACTGACAGCAACAAATCTTCCCTAATGGAGGAGAATAGATACCCCGCTCTGGGCTCCATGGGGCTGATGACAATTTCCTTTAAAGCCAACTCAAGCCATCTCTAGGACAGCCAGTCATCCAATCTGTGGATTTCTGAGAGTCAGGCCAGCTAATCTCTGCAGGGGAGGCATTTCTTCTCCCAAGTCACACATGTTCTTAGCCTTTTCGTAAGCAGCGAACCATTTCAGAGCAGTGAACAGCGCTTATGGAAAGGAAGGACTTGGCAAAACCGAGTGCTAAAGAGTTGGGCAGAGGTAATGTTCTCAATATTGGCACTAAATTTTCTAGACATCCAAGCGTGTGTGTCGTGTGTGTGTGCACACGCGCGTGTGCGTGTGATGGAATTGGAACAGAAGAGCAGGAACGTCAGGGTTAGCTGATCCTCTCTGCTGGTTATTGGTTTGGCCTAAATAAGCTATCACAAGGGCCCTTAGTATAATTTCTTGGTTCTTTAATGTTAAAGCAATGAAATCTGGCCAAAAAAGTCTTTCTTTACCCCTGAATGCAGTGAAACAGGTCAAACAAAACATTTGAGGGTGGGTCAGAACAGAAGTAACTTTTAATGCTTTTAATGAGTTCATTGGGTCTATCACTCCTTCAGTTCTGGGTTGGGCAACCAGCTTGGGCCATCAAGATCATGGCCTTGCAAGGGTGAGCATGTTGTTGCAAGTGCCGAAGGGGGCACTCGCTTCCTGCAAATTTTCAGTGGTCTCTAAGATGCTAAACCCAAGAGTTTCTGGAAATGTAAAGAGAGAACTAGAATATGAAGAGAGGGCTTCCTAAAGTTTGATTTCCTAAAGTTGGAAGTTATTTGAACTTCAGGATTACATTATTTTTTAAAAATGTGTCAAGGGAAAATGTAAACATACTTAAAATAAGTATACATACAAGACGTAACAGTACCCTTCCCCCTGTATTCACCTCGCAATTTCAGTACATGGCCAATATTTATATTCCCATCAATTTACTTCCCTCCCATATTATTTTGAAGCGAACCCATATTTAAATATTAACACTCCTCTCCTAGATAAAAACTCCTTTAGGGATGATCTTTTCTCTACCAGGACTAGAGCTATCCCAAAGCTTAAGGCGAGGAAGAGACTCCGACAAACCCACTGTCCTGATTATTCTGTTTGTCTCCTTACCCCTAACGCTTGCGTCAGATCCATTTTTTGTCATTCTCTGTCCTGCTGTGTCCTGTGCCCACTGGAAACTGCCTTCCTGAGCTCTTTACCTGAGCTACCTGTAAGTATTCGTCAACCTTGCACCTAACTCAGAGCTGGACACAAAGCAGGTGCTCCAGACCATCTTGAATGGATCTGATTCCACTCAGGGAAACGCTTTGGAAAAGACTTAAGAAAAATACGTTGCTGCCCAAATAAGTCAACACCATCATCTTTCAAAATAGTTTTTTTTTTTTTTCTCTTCATCCTTGTTCTGGGAAAATGCAGGTGAACAAGAGTCAGGTGAACAAGAGGTCGTTCATTGCCAAGACATGATGCCCTTTCTTGCACATATTTGCAAGTTATTTTCCTCAAGGAAGAGACATGAGCAAAATGGAGTGCTCAGGGAGACGAGCAAAATATTCTTCCTGGGAAACAAGATGTCCTTGAGAGGACACCTTAACTCAAGATCCACGCACACGCTTTTCTTTCTCCAAGAGCTAAATCATGGGCTGCTTAAGACAGTTACACTACCCCAATGGCCGTGGAGCTGTATCTCCTTTCGTGTACCAGTGGGTTTCAGTTTTTTAAATGGCTAGTTGCGGTTGTAGAGTTTTTTTCTCACTTTTGATGAGCCTCAGACAGTCATGACTCCTGCAGTATATCCTGGACGATGGTAGCTGCCTTAGTAAACGAATGCTAGTAAGTTCCCTTAGTTCAAAGTTGTCCAAACATGGAGTGGAATTTGACTGTTGATGCGGTAAGGAGTTAGGAGAAAGAGGACGCATATTCAGAATGATGTCTCTACCTGAGAGTATGTCTTGAAACTGCTTTAAGGCAAACCCAATATTTAGAGGCATAGATATCTTGAAGAGACCTTTGGAAAATGTCACCGCAGTTAGCACTGAAAGTTCTTAAAGCGGTTCTTGTGTGCCTGTTCCCTTTCCTCCCTCCATCTCTGCCTTCCTTCTTTCTCCTCCTGAGGGAGCTATCTGGAAAGCCAAGCCCATGATGTTGATTACACACTTTATCAAATTCGATTCAAGGCACATGTCTTGAATTGTTACTGTGTGTTGATCACTGTGGGGGACGAGGGAGACTAACCCACACGATTCCCTCTCAGGATATTCTAGTCCTGAGGACAAATGAAATGAAATGGCGGTTGTCCAAAACAGAGGGAATGTCCATCCTAGGGATTCACCTGATGCTGGAACAGCCTCGTCATACTGGTCTGGAGAGAGACTGCTTCCTACGTATCTAGCAGAGTGGTGATGGGGCTATTCATTCGAACATTCAGTCGGCCAAAATATTAAGTGCTCCACTCAGAGGAGTGTTGACCAAGAGTCCAACAGGCTTCCAACTCTCTCCACTAGAAATTCCCAGTGGATTAGCAGAGATCCTCGTCCCATTCCAATACTTGTTATTTCCCCATCCATTCAGCTACCAAACATTTATCGAGTGCCTACTGTTTCCCTTGCACTGTGATAGGTGATGGAGATACAAAGGTGAGTATCTCAAGGGACTTAGGGAAATACAGCCCATCTATAGAGATACCGAGATTTGTAACTTAATGTTTCAAAATGTCACCGGTGCTCTTATAGAAGTTTATACAGAGCACAGGAAAATGTAAAGAGGAGAAGGTTAATTCTGCGAAGAGGTCAAAATACCTTTGTAGAATAATTCACCCTTGAACTGACTCTAGAAAAATGAGTAGATATTTGATCAGCAGATGGAGATAATGGGTGTGCAGAAGGGGTTGTAGTTGTCAAAGGCACCGTCGTCTTCATGGATGAAAGCCTCTCTAGTGTCCAGGGAGCTGGTTCTGGGAGGGGGTACTGGGCATCATGGAGAGCAGATGTTACAGAGGTGCGCTGTGGCCAGACCGTGGGGAGTTTTTGTGTCATGGAAAGGTGTTTGGTTCTTTTTCCTGCAGGCCCAAGGGGGTGTCTTTAAGGTCGTAAACGCCTCCTCTCTCCAACCTGCCACCCGTGAGCTCCCAACCACAGGAGGTACTGAAAGGCCACTCACCTTGTGACAGGGCAGCCAGTGCAGTCTTCCTGAGTGGGCCCCCAGCACTTGGCACACGAGGCGTCACAGATCTGGCAGTGGCCGTGCTCATCGATGTATTCTCCTAGGGAACAAAACCTAATTGTTTACCTCGTCTCCACATGGCAGCGCTGCCTCGGCCGTCAGTCTGAGAGCGGCCAGATCGCTCCGTGGCTGCCCGAAAGCAATGGAAACAACACAGAGAGGAGACCTTGGATGGCTTCAGTTGCCGGTCCTAAGTCCTGACCTTATAATAACAACTGCTCCTCTCCCAAGGGCCTCGGAATTTGGAACCTCAAAAAGTTATGAGGCAATGACCTAATTTTGGATCTAGTCAACATGTGTTACGGATTAAATAAGTACAGAGAGGCCAAGGGGGGCTTCTCATAGGACCCCTTTACTGAGCTTCTTCTGACTTGCCTGTTAAGGGCTGAGAATGCTTGGACCCCAGAGACCTCTGTTACAGCCTTGGTTCAAGTCAAGCAACAAGCAGGACCCACCCACAACTCCGGGGTTATTATGGTAACTAGTCAAGAAGCGGTAGTCAAAGCTTGGGTAACATTTGACAGATGTGAGCTGCATCTCACCCCGAAAGAGTAACAATGAAGAGATAGCCACAGAATTCTTCACTGATTTGGAAAGTCTCCTTCCCAAGGAAAAACACATAGGAGGCCTTTCCACTGAAGCACGTGTAGCTTCCCAAACTTCTTCTGAACATGTAAGAAATTACTCTCCCAGCAAAGATGGTGGGGACAAGCCAGCCTCTTTGAAGGTGATCATCCGGTGATAAACCAATGATGGGTCTCATTGAACCCAACCCTCTACTCACACTACACAACGTCTTCTCCCCCCCACGGTCCTAGAAGAAATCGAGAAGTTTCTTTAGTCTGATCCCAAGAGTCACTCTGTATGGTTTGGAAACCAATCACGCACAGAAAACATGGCTTCAGATTTCAGGAGAATCACTCCACCCCCTGTAAGTATGTCTGAACATTGTCAATCTGACATCCAGCCAGAATAGGGAGGTAGCAGTTCCTCACGCATGGTTTAACCAAGTCTTACTGAAACTCTAAGATTTGCTGCCTGATTTATTGTAGTTGCTTTGAAGCCATGGAAACATAGACTTGACTGGTGAGAAATTGAAGGAAGTTCACCCCTCTGCATTGTCCCATGGCTTTATTGAACTAGGTAAGGTTACTAGGTGAGGTAACCTTAGATATATAAATCCTTCCCTTGCCCTAACCACAAAAATGAAAATGAGGCGGCAGGGAGATTTTGTCCTTCCATACAGAAAAAGCCTTTGATGTAGTTACTCTGTGAGTTTTGTTAACTAAAGGGGAAAAGTACATATTCGGAGCAATGCAATTATCTAATAGCGGCATATCCTGCACATCCCAGACTCTGTTCTTTGTTGCTCGGTCGTTGCCAAGGAATCTGATATATAACTTTTCATTTTTTTTAAAAGAAAAAATATAACTTTTCATTTTTTTATTTTCGAGAGAGAGGGAGAGAGAGAGAGAGACAGAGACAGAGCACAAGCAGGGGAGGGACAGAGAGACAGAGGGAGAATCCAAAGCAGGTTCCAGGCTCTGAGCCATCAGCACAGAGCCCGACGCAGGGCTTGAACTCATAAACCGTGAGATCATGACCTGAGCTGAAGGCGGTCGCTTAACCGACTGAGCCACCCAGGCGCCCCTGATATATAACTTTTAGAATGGAACCATAGTTTTTAGCTCAGGAGTGACTCCCGGGAGCCCAATGCCCCAAAGAGTGAGTACCCAGTGGGGGCAAAGAATGCAAACGTGCAGGTTGTTCACTGCACAAGGTGCCTGTCCCAGTGGCCATGTGGAAGCAGAAATCCAGCCCATGTTCATCCCACCAAGCCACGCACTCTGGTTTGGCTGTCTCTGCCTCTGCCCCTGTAGGGGACACCTTTTGCTAATTCACACAAAGGTATTAGAAATGGACAACTTGCATTCTTGGTCATCAGAAAGCTTGGTTTCCAAGGGAGAAAAAAGCTGGGACTTCTGTCTAGTAGGAATGGGTGATTTCAAGTTGAGACTGCCTCATTCAATATAGGCCTCATGTTTATATGGCCTTTTATTTATTCGGGCTCCCCATTCTACCTCCTAATGATTGCCCTTGCTGTAATCTCTTCCACTTTTGTCACAGTGTGACTTTTGCCACAACCAACTGAGTAGTGATTATCAGTCCAGACACTCACAAGATAAAGGCAGACCTGGTAGGAACGAGTAGATCTTGCCTACATCGCGAATGCTAATAATTTGTGTTTACGGAGCTGGATGGTCGCTATGTATCTTTCCAAAGGCATGTGCTGAGTGGAAGAGGAGTGAGGGATGGTTTCCAGAGGCTTCCAAACACAAAGAAAGTGTATTCTAGAGGAACGTAGGATCATAGATTATTCATTTGTTCGTGCATTCGTTCCATGGACACTTTTTGAACATCTATGTGCTGGGTAGTAGGTGAGATTTAGACATATACAAACAGAAAAGAGCCTGCTCTTCGGTCCTCAAGGATTTTTGAGAAGAATGATTTGAAAAGAGATCGTTATAATCCAAATGCTAGCCGGTAGCCTTTCACTTCCTTGGACAGTCTAGATTAACATCTAGAACAGAAAAGCAAAGGCATACACACCAGACTGTCTGCTCTACTGGTACTTTACCTTGACATTCACGCCTATAGGAACAGACACAGGGATTTGTTTTTCCGAACTCTTGATAGCCATCCACCTTAATTTCCATGGTGTATTGGTTGCAACACAAAGGTAGGATTTTAAGCTAAATGCACCTTGCTCTGCTAAATCAAATGCCATTTAGATAGTTCTGAGAGTTTTTCCATTTCTATACCCAAAGTCTCCTTTGTAATTACAGAGGATACATGGTTAGGTCAAGCAAATGTTATCCAGATAGTGCTGTAAACATTTAAAATTCTCTGTAACTCTTATTTGCCTCCTCATTGGCTTCCATAAGCCAGTAGGTGGCACTGATACCTTGGCTTTGTACTTGATCTGCTCAACCACCTTAGATCGAATCGTCACTTGAAACTGCCCCATGTCTGAGATTTCAAATAACCCTCCCAACACACCCTTCTAATGTTACACTACGACTCTAGCTCACCCCGCTTGATCATTCTTTTATTCACCTTTCCAGTTACCTCTTCTATTTCCTACTGGGGCTAGGCCAAAACTTCCCAAGACCCAAGTTCCAGAATTCCAAATTCTTTCTCAGAAGGTGACCTCACTTCCTAATTTGCTGATGAGGTACTGAGTTTCTCCAGCATCCTTTCTCTCAATGCCAAAATTCCTCCCTCTCTCTTGATTGTTCACTGGTCTCTTCTCTCCATGGAAGGTATGTACCTTATTCCTGGCCATTGTTGGCCGTCCACCTCATGTTCTGGAACTTTCCCCACAATGGTTTTCCACCAGCCTCTTTGCCTTCAATCATTTCTTCACATCTCCCATCATCCTCCTATCTACAAAAGTTCTCCCTAAGCTTAGACCTTCCCAAGCACTTTTCTTCCCTGATGACTGACTCTTAAAACATGTTTTTCCTTCCTACCACTTAGACCCAAAATGGAGAAAACCTTCAGAACCTTGACACTTATGTAAGTGAGTCAGCGTGGGACAGCTTAGCTGTGCACCTCTCTCAGCCTGCATGCCTCCTAACTTTAGAGCAAGTGCTGGCTTTAGAACAGACGAGAATCGAGGGACCTGCCCCGATTTTTATGATTATGTAGATGTCCAATTAGTTACAGAAACAACTGTCCCCAACCCCAGCCCTTGCAGGCACAAGTTTCCCACTGCACATTTGAAACCAAAAAAAGCCAGATTCCAAGGACATAGTGGAGTTGGTTTTTTTTTTTTTTTTTTTTTTTGGTTGTTGGAGCAGCAAATTCTTGTCATCTGTCTTCACTGCACAATGAAACTAAATGTTTATGACAGGCGTGATATACAAAATTCTTGGAAAAAAATCACTTGTAGCACAGACTTCAGGGGCCAATATTTTGTTCTCCACCTCATCCTGCAAGCTCTTCCTTCTGGTGTCTTCATCTATTATTCAGTCCAAATTATCTTTCTAATGTGATCACAAAAATTCCATTCTCCTTTTAGTTCCTTTCTCGTCTCATCCTGTAATAGTTCGAAGGACAGAGAAGGGTGTCTCCTGGGGAGAGGTGATGTCTCAAAAGTTGAAGACATAGCTTAGAAAGGCATACTTCTCCACTGAAAAATTTACAAGAGGGGCGCCTGGGTGGCTCGGTCGGCTAAGCATCCGACTTCGGCTCAGGTCATGATCTCACAGAATGTGGGTTCGAGCCCCTCGTCGGGCTCTGTGCTGACAGCTGGGAGCCTGCTTCAGATTCTGTGTCTCCCTCACTCTCTGCCCCTCCCCTGCTCAGAGCCTGGAGTCTGCTTTGGATTCTGTGTCTCCCTCTCTCTCTGACCCTCCCCTGCTCGCGTGCTCTTTCTCTCTCAAAAATGAATAAACCTTAAAAAATTAAAGAAGAAAAAAAAGAAAAATTTACAAGGAAGTGGCTCTTGTTCTACCTCTTGATCACATTGCCCGGCATGTTTGTGTTAACGGATCCAACTTACAAGTAAACTTTATGAAATCATCCAGAATAATAGGTAAGCATTTATTACGTCATCCACAGCTACCAAACATTATGGAGACTCACATAAGAATAATTTTTACGCAGGGGTGCCTGGGTGGCTCAGTCAGTTGAGCGTCCGACTTCGGCTCAGGTCATGATCTCACGGTCCGTGAGTTCGAGCCCCGCGTCGGGCTCTGTGCTGACAGCTCAGAGCCTGGAGCCTGTTTCAGATTCTGTGTCTCCCTCTCTCTGACCCTGCCCCGTTCATGCTCTGTCTCTCTCTGTCTCAAAAATAAAGGTTAAAAAAAAATTAAAAAAAAAAAAAGAATAATTTTTACTCATACATGGCCGGGATACCTTCCTTCCTCCTACAGAAGGGCTAGGCTTTCTTGTGTACTCTGTAATAGCCTTTATGGACTGGAACCAAATTTTTTGCAGCATTTAAGAAAACACACGTTGTGGGGCGCCTGGGTG